ATGATGTGATGAGTCAGCTGAACCGAACAGTGAAGACGGACAAGTTTACTCTGTTTGTATACTGCAATTTTCTTACAACCGTATGAGTCAAAACATAAACAAACAAAATGTAAACAAAGCAGACGAAACTCTTACAGATTACAGCTTTCTCAGTAGGTATCACTATACTAAATCAAAGAATTATCTAAAAAGACGATATCGAATTCGTCACTGAATTCCCATGTCTATTGGGACACCCTGTAGTATGTATTCATAAGCCCTTAAGATACTGTGTTACTTACCGTATGACCATGTAAAGTGGGAGCAATAATATCAATACAATGAAGATCCAGCTTTTTTAATTAAATTTTGATTATTTACAAGCTTTTTTCAAATGACTAGTTAACAAGTAATGAAAGAGAAGATTTATTAATTGACTGTTTTTCTTTGTCTCCCTAGGTTTCTGTGTATCCATGTGGTTTAAAAGCTAGATATAAATAAAAATTAAAATCGAAAGTCGTCTTTTTGCTTATATATATGCTTGAGATATGATTTAAAACAAAATTTAAATCTTACGCGAAATTACTTTTTACCTTTACTTTACTTTGACAGTTAAAGCATTTCAAATGTCGTCATTTAAGTCTCCCCGGGGGGACCGAAGCTCTAAATTTTAGAGACTATTTGTGACTATTAGTCAGTATTATTTAAGCGCCTTGAGACACTTATCATTCATCAAGAGGTTCACGACTAAATACAACTGAAAAGCCCATTTTTAGTCAGTGCTCAGAACGGAAAGGTGTGGGGTTACACGTTCAATATCCTGACAGGGGGTCTCGCTATATTTGTCCGTATGTGTGTGTCTGTGTGCCCAGCTGTGGCATTTACAGCTACCATGGAAGGCAGCTGGCAATGCGTCCAACCCTGCCTAATCTAAGCAACTAGGTCCGCCTAATTAGGCAACTAAAAATAGGATTGCCCGCATAATTAGGCAACTAAAAATAGGATTACCCGCCTAATAAAGCAACAAAAAATAGGATTGCCCGCCTAATTAAGCAACTAAAAATAGGACTAAATATGTGTCTAAAATATTGTTTATTAGCTCTCTCAGGTCAGGGGCGTTCACAGGGTCAGTGTACAGGGTACCCCCCAACCATAAAAATCCTGTCTATGCTCAGATTAAAAAAGTAACTTACGCACCCTCTGAACAGACCATGTGTCTAATCATCATGGCTGAGTAAGGTTTCAAGATTCAGACAGGAATCTTGTCAATTATACTGCTGAAATGATCCTGTGAAGTATATTCATAATTAGAAACAACTTGCTCTGAGCATTTAAAGATTCAACCCCCCTCCCGAGTCTGTGAGTTTATTCACATAAGATGCAATTGAAAAAAATATTAAACAGATAATTAAGTTTATCAAAGCTTTATGTAAATTAGAAAATATTATGAAGAAAAATTTGTAAAAACTTAAGTACATTCATTCATACATAGATTTTAAACTAGCACTACTAGAGCCATCTAGTGGCATCTAATGTAGTTTCATTCAAATGAAAGTATTTTCACACCGTTGGTGAAATACAAAATTTGGTAAATAGGGATATGTGATATTCTTCCGGCCA